TTTTTTTTTTCCTTTTGGTAACTTGACTTCATTAATGAGGTGGGTTCTTGCTGGAAAATTTGAGCTCAAAATACGTGTTGCATTTGAGAGTTTTAAGTTATGAAGGGCACAGATAACTATAATTAAATTAATCTCGTGAACATTTAGTTGCACTGTAACAGGAGTCAAGCCTGGTTACATGCTCTTAGACAAAGCTTATTCCTATTCAGGTTGTCTTTAGTTGTAAAATGTTTCATGCTTTTCTTTTTATGAAATATGCTCTTGTTAATCTGTTGAAAGGCCACCAAAGATTCTCTCTCTTTTTCTTTCCTTCCCAATCTGAGAGTTGATTCTTGTTTTCTGTGGTCTCAACAATATAGGAAGGAATTACTCAGAGCTATTGATGTACGGCTTGTCACAGCTCAACAGGACTTAACATCGGCTTGTGCTCGTGCCGCCGCTGCAGGTTTCAATGGTGACACAGTCTCTGAACTTCAAATGTTTGCAGAATTTTTTGGTGGCCATCGCATAAAGTAAGACTATAAATTCCTTTGTTTTTCCACAATTCAGCCACAACTCTAGATCACTCCATCCCATATTTTTAATGTTTGCTAGAAGGTACACATGCATTTCTCACAGTTGTACACAAGTGCAGATAATATAACTCACATGCCCAAATGGATCTCATATTATATTGGTTAAATAGCAAGAACATCTGCAAAACTTTGCTTTGTTGAAGCAGGCCTGGGACTTTTCTAGTTTGGAGCAAGTTCAATTTCGTTTATATGGTTTCAAGATCCTGGTTGTAATTACTCACTTCTTTCCATTCCAGTTTGCACCTCTCTGACAGGGAATCAGAAAGGGGAAGGAAAAGAGAAACCGAATCCAGTTTGCACGTATCATTTTTATCTTACAAGATGCATAAAAGAAAAAGAATCTTGTCATTACTTTCAGAAATCACGGTGAAAAAAATATATCTATAGTATATCAATATTCATCAATAACTTAATAGAAAACTATTAAATTCACATTTCCCCTGTTCAAAGGCAAAAGAAACACAACATAGAGGGAATTCTTTTCCTGTTCTGGAAAATTATCGTCCTTTAGTAAAATAAAAAATTCTATAATTTCAGGAACTAAGAAAATTCTTTTGTTTCTTCACAGTGAAGCCTGCAGCAAATATATATCTTTGAGCGAGAGGCGGGCAGATTTAATCAGTCCATGGAGGTCTGGAACCCAGGATGGGGCTGTCCGATCTTCATATGGGTCAGACATGTCCATTGATGAGGATCCCTCCCTCCCTCAGCCCACAGGGCCCCTTTCGGCCAAGATCCAACATCAGGAAGATACCTCCACGTGTGAGCAGCCCAAGCCACCTTCTCTATCCTTCCCAGTACAACCCACTTTCAGCAGAGAATCCAGCAGTGAAAGAGATGACTCAAACAAACAAAATGATGGTGTTGTTGAAAAAGAAATGAAGAAAGAGGAGAGTTCAAGTGCTGATCAGACTGAATTGACTCGCACAAGTCATCATGTGAGGCGACTCAGCGTGCAGGACCGCATAAGCCTGTTCGAGAACAAACAAAAGGAGACTTTGGGGAGTGGTGGGAAACCTGTGGTCCGGAAATCGGTGGAGCTTCGGAGGCTGTCGTCTGATGTGTCATCTGCCCCAGCTGCTGTAGAGAAAGCTGTGTTGAGGAGATGGAGTGGCGCCAGTGACATGAGCATTGACTTAAGTGCTGAAAAGAAGGATACTGAGAGCCCACTGTGCACTCCATCCTATGCTTCGGGGTTGCTTTCCAAGTCTGATGAGAAAAAAGCTTTGAATTTGAATGATACAATCGCAAGTTCTGTTAAGCTGGAGTCAAGAATTATTCCAGGGGTGGCTTCGGGTCGGGTCCTTGATTGCAGATTGAAAGATGCGTCTTCTTTTAGTAGTTTGAATGATGGTTCTGAATCTAATATGTCAAATTCTATTTTTAGTACTATGGAATTTAATGGTTCTATGGATCAAATGCATGAGAAGTCTCAGTCAAGGTCATTTATTGTGAAGGCTGATGATCGACAAAATTCTGAAGAGGAGTTCAGGTCTTTCCCTGAGAGTAAAGAAGAGGTTCTGATAGGGTTCAGGCATCAAGGAAAGTTGAAGGGTGGTGAAGAGCTTGGTGGGGTAAAAGGGAGAGTGGCTTCTGAGACACAGGTTACTGAAGAGAAGGATCAGGGTGCTCTTCAGACACAGATTCGGACTTTTGGAATCAAAGGTGATCGGCAGGTTGAAATTTCAAATTGGAAGGAACAAGATGAATTGAGAGACCAGCTTGTTACACAGTCATGTTCAAAGTCTCCTCAGAAAACAGTGGGAGACTCTGGGCAGTTTGAAGGCCCTGTTGGATCAAGAATTAGAGAAGCTTTTGCTGCTCATTATAAAGGGGCTGAAAGAGGTTCCTTGTCTTCTCAGTCCAGTAAAAGATCTGCGGGGGACTTAGGGGAAGCTGGAAAGAAAGAATCGATTTTGTTTGAGAAAATATCTGGTATTTCTGCATCAAAGGTTACCAGTAAAAAATCTGCGGGGGACTCTGAGGAAGCTGGAAAGAAAGAGTCAATTTCATCTGAGAAAATATCTGGTAGTTCTGCATCAAAGGTTGAAGATTCTGGACTTCAGAAATTGAAGTTTCAGAGACTAGTTTCGGCACCTGAACAGATGAACAAGTCACTACTTCGGAGAGACAAAAGCAATTTTGTTTATGGAAATAGTAGAACACCATTCTCTGGTAAATTGATGACGGAGGCTCAGGATGGTTCTGATTTATTTTTAAACCCAACTTCAGAACAAACGCAAAGGGTGAGGCTTTCAAAAGGAAACCCGGAGCTGAATGATGAGTTAAAAATTAAAGCAAATGAGCTTGAGAAGCTCTTTGCTGAGCTACAACTTCCTGGAGATCAATCCAATTCTGCCCATAGAGACAGGTCAGCTGATGTGCAAGGTGAGTCAGCAGTTAGTTTGTCCTACACAAAACCAGTTGCAGATATCACTCCTCCTCGACTATCTGATAATTACCTGTCAAGTGAAATTACAGGGAGCGCTAAAAACATGACCAAGCTCGGTGCTGCTCCGCTGATGACAATGGTTGATAATCAAAAGTATGGCGATGCTGAGCTTAGTTTTTCAGAAGGCTCTCGAGGGAAATTGTATGACATGTATGTGCTGAAAAGGGATGCAAAACTAAGGGAAGAATGGGGTTCCAACAGAGCTGAGAAAGAAGCTGAGCTGAAAACTATGCGGGATAGGTTTGAGCGGAGTGCGGCAGAGATGAAGGCCAAATTTTCAGGGTCTGCAGATAGACAGGATTCAGTATCCAGTGCTCACCGACGAGCCGATAGACTCAGATCATTTAGTACCCGGTCAATTATCAAAAGGGAGCAGGTTGGTTTATAGTTGTCTTCTAGACATATATGCCACTAAAAATTGGAAGCATCATATATGTATATTTTGTTCGTTTAAGAGTTTACTGGAGTTCCTCTTCTGTGATTTTAACCCCCCGCATAAAAGTTTCCTTTTGACAGAAACAAATAGATTCTGGGAATAGTGAAGATGATGAAGATGCATCAGAATTTGAAGAGCAGGAACATCTTCGTGAAGATAGCACTTTGGGCGAGAACTCTCTTGGAGATGGTGTATCCAGGAGTGCACCTGGTAAGAAGCTACCTGCTAAAAGTTCATCCACATCTATGCCTCGTACCTCAGCAGCCCCTGCCCCACGATCTGCTGCCAAAGCTTCCATTCTCAGTTCTGGGAAGCGTAGAATGCAATCTGAAAATCCACTCGTGCAGTCTGTCCCAAACTTCTTTGACATGAGGAGAGAAAATACCAAGCCTTCTTCAGCAGCCAGTAAGACAACTCGACCACAACTAAGAAACTATGCCCGCAGCAAGAGCACTAGTGAAGAAGCACCAATTGTCGAGAGATCACGCCGATCACAGTCACTGAGGAAGAACTATGCAAATCTCAGTGAGTTTAGGGAGATATCTCCTGCGGACTCGGGAGATGCTGTTTTGACACCACTAAAATTTGACAAGGAAGTTGTGAAGAGTGTTGAGACCAAGCCTTTTCTCAAAATTGGTAGTCCTTCAGACATTGTTGCTACATCTAGTATTACAAAGAACACCTCTATGACCCCCGAGCTCCTAAATAATGAAGAGGAATATAATGACTTGGCCTCTGGGCCAGAAGAAATGGGGAATACAGTAAAAGGTGAAGAGGAAGAGTTTGACACCATGAGCCCTAAAGGTCATAAGGACTTGGACAGTGGAAAACCAAGACTGAGACTGGAATCAGAGAAGTTGGAAAATTCAGGATCAGAAAATGGTGATGCTATAAGATCATTTTCTCAAGTGGACCAGGCTTTGGGTGCTGAATTGCCTTCTATGGTGCAAGATTGGCCAGCAGAAAGTCCTTTGTCATGGAACTCTCGCACTCAACACCCCTTTTCTTATCCTCATGAGATCTCAGATGTCGATGCCTTTGTTGACTCCCCAGTAGGTAGTCCTGCCTCATGGAACTCACATTCTCTGAGCCAAATAGAGACTGATGCAGCTCGAATGAGGAAGAAATGGGGAACGGCTCAGAAGCCGATGTGGGCAGCTCATTCTTCCAATAATATATCGCGCAAGGATATGACTAAAGGATTTAAACGGTTGTTGAAGTTTGGGAGGAAAAGTCGTGGCTCAGAGAATTTGGTTGATTGGATCTCTGCAACCACGTCTGAAGGAGATGATGATACAGAGGATGGACGTGATCCTTCCAACAGGTCATCGGAAGATCTGAGGAAGTCAAGAATGGGATTTACTCAAGGGCAAACTTCCAATGATAGCTTCACAGAAAGCGAGTTTTTCAGTGAACAAGGTGAATTATGATCTCACACTATAGGTCGACTTCCCCTTTTGTTTCTGGATTAATGGTTGACCATGCCAAGTTTTTAAGTTCTGTTTTGTGTGAGTTCGATTTCACAAGGATAACCTCTTTGAGGCTTTATTATTTACCAGTACAAATATCTAAGAGGGGCATGTTAAAGCTTATCTAGTGCAGGAAAAACCAGTCGTGATACTTTATTTCTTGATTTTCGACAATTTATTTTCACACTAGGCTCTTTGAGTTTTCATTACCGTTTATCATATCTGCAAGTTAATCTCTGCATACTAATGATTCCTATGGAGGAATTTCTTTGGATATAATTCATGTGCACTCTGTATACAAACAATGGTTTGGAACATTTTGGTATGAGGTGGGCACTCTTGAAATCAAATTGTGTAAACAGAACGTGAGTTTTTCTATCTCCCTTTATTATGTCTCCTCCAATATTTTTTCTCCATTTTTATAGAATTTTCTTGCCAACAGGTGCTTCATCAACCTGCTTAGATTTGCTTTCCAAGAAGCAAACGAATACAAATTATTAGCGCCCCCCCCCCCCCCCCCCCCCCCCCTCCTCCTTCTTTTGTTCAATATTCAAAGCAAAGGTTAGACCATAGAGCGTACTAGTTTGGACTTGATTTATTTGTATCTTTTCCTTCATACAGTTCAATCTTCAGACAGTTCAATTCCTGCACCTGTGGCTAACTTCAAACTGAGGGAGGATCATATATCCGTAAGCTCAATAAAAGGTGACTTCAGAATATCTTCTTGTTTACTTTCCTTTGCTGCAACTTGATATATGTTATGAACTGAAGAAATAAATGCATCACTACATATCAGACTTTACATTGGTACTGTTGCTTATATCAAACATGTTTGGCTGTGCTTAAAAAGTAACTTTCCTACACAGTAAGTTTTGTTAGTTTAAAACATAACTATAAGAATCATGTTTTCTTAACTTTAGTAAGTTTGACTTGCTTTTAAAACGGCCTAGAAAAAAGTAAATAAATGAAATTGGGCTTCAAAAGACCATAATGATTGTCTGGTCTGTTTATGGCTTCTGCATAGGACATAACTTGAAATCATAATTGGTTTAAGCGAAAAGTTTCTTAGTAGAATTTCTCGTGAAATTCTGATTATTTTATTATTATTTTTTAATCATCCTCGTTTTGCAGCTCCAAGGTCATTTTTCTCATTATCAACATTCCGGAGCAAGGGAAACGACTCGAGGCCTAAATAACACTCTTGAGGATTTCTCCATTGATGGGGGCATGGAGGATTCTAAATGTGAGATTATGAGAGTTACAATTTTGTATGTCAAGGATGGCTGCCTTCTTCTTGGGGATCTTATTTCTTGTTTTCCTGTCGGAAAGCATGTGTATATCGTGTTGAGTGAACAGTTCCAATGGGCAGAACAGCAACGTGATTTTGGTAGTTAAAAAGCATTCTTTCTGCAGTTGCTGTCTGCTCTTAACTTGTGCAATATACACACCAGAATCAAATGTCAACATCACACAGGAGAGTTAATCTGATTATGCAGTGTAATAGATGGTTATTTGTGTGATCGCATCTCCCCCTTGCTTGGCGGAACTGAGATTCATTAAGTGAATCAAAGGTATCGTGCAACCCTATTCGTTAATTTACTGTATGGACGAAGTGAACCATTGCCCTAGCACTAACAGGGATAAATGTGTATTCGAGATTAGTCTCAACCAACCATTTACAAGTACATCGATGGATACAAGACTCCTATTTTTTATTTTCTGTGTTACAGGATGTAAATAAGGCAAGGCCTAATTATAGGGATTAATTATATAGATTCCTAGTTTATATAATTACCTAATATAGGACCCTAACTCTGTGTGTGTGTGAATATAGGACCCTAACTCTGTGTGTGTGTACACACACACACACACACACACACATATATATATAGGGATGGCAGTGGGGCGGGGTACCCCTGCGCCGCACCACTTAAAACGGGGCGGGGGTCTGTCCCATTTCTTGTCCCATATAATTTTTTATTTTTTTTTAATAAAGTCAATGTCTAAAATAAACATTCGAAAGTCGAAACACTGTCCAAAAAAAAAAGAACAATTGCAATTAAAATTACATTGTCATTGTACTAAAATTCATTTTTTGATTCAAAATTTGTCATTTTTCAGACTTCATAACTTCTTTCATCAACAGAAGTAGAGATCACACAAGATGGATCCTGAAAAACAAAAGAATATTGTAATCAATATCATTATAATAACTACGATTAAAATTTACATTATCTAATAAAGAAAAATACCTCTTCATCAACATCCTCATCATTCATCTTGGAGCAAGATCCAAAATATGCAGACGGCACAGAATTCACTATTAATAAGGTAAAATAAATTAGTAATAAGAAAATAAATAACATGAACAACAGAAAAGCAAATGTTTATA